TGTAATTTCCGCGAATTCTTAATTTGGAGCATCCCTGAAAAGATCACATATGTTACAGTAGTTTTAGTAACGAAGGGCTTTTATGAAGATGTTTTGTATGTTTGTGTGTTGGTTAACGCCGCACTCAGCATCTTTCCAGCTGTATAACGGCGGTCAGTGATTTATCGACTTGGCCAGGCAATCCAGTGATGCCATGATGGACATCGATCTACAGAAGTAGGATATGATGACATGCATCAACCAAGTCTGCGAGCCTGACCACCCGATCCCGTTAGTCCAATTCTATCCCGGACCTTAAGGGGTCACATGTACATCGTATGTGCTTTAGACTCTTGATATATATTTATAATCGTTTCTAATCCTAACTGTATAGTTGCTACCTTCTTTAGAACGGGTGAAAAATGGGTAAATAATAGGTAAAAGATCTTTATAACATGTGCTGTTGATTCTCCAAGGATATTACTTGTGCTTCTCAGAAGCTTGGGAAACTAAAAGGGTTTTCATTCTTTGAATATCTGTGTCACTTCAGAGAATCATAAATGCCTAATCCTATTATTTCAGGTGTTCGACCATACAATATGTCCAGCATAGCTGCCGGTCGTTTCCACGGAAACGAAACTTTCCACGGAAACGACACTTTCGTGTACACATCACAACAGCGGAAGTGACGTCATCATTAAACATCAGCGATGAGGAGAAGAGACGTTATCTGTCCCACCTTGACGACACGACGTTTCGCTTGATGATACCAGCCGTGGTATATCTGGCCATACTGATGGTTCTGGGTATTTTCGGAAACATCCTGGTGTTGATTGTGTACCTCAAGAAATTCAAACCAAGCCCGACCCGTGTGTTTGTAGTGTGTCTGTCTGTGTTTGACCTCATAACCTGCTTCATTTCACTCCCAGGAGAGATCCTGGACATGAGGTACACCCATACGTTCAACTACCCAAACGTATGCAAGATGCTGAGATTCAACAATTCGTTCTCCGTGGTATCCTCGGGATGCACGCTCATAGCCGTTACGATAGACAGATACAGGAAGATATGTCGACCATTAAACAAACAGATCACCATCAAAGTCGCCCGCATCATGGTTGGAATCGCTGTGTCTGTATCGCTTGTCCTCACCATCCCGACAGTGATAGTCTATGGTAGAAAAACGGTATCAGATCTGCACGGCAGTCATTCCGTAAAGTATCGCCAACCACAGCCTTTGAAGATGTTTCCAATTCAAATCATGGCTTCGATGATTCGTCGGAGACAAGTTGTTCATATGTGAATGACACTTCAGCGAAACCCAAAACACGTAGTGCAGACAAATACTCGAACAGAGTGACATCTACACGAAAAAAGGCTTCAAAACCACAATCAGGACCCAGAGGGATGAAAACAACATTTATGTTGTTCATCATCACAGCTGTATTCATTATCAGCTTCTTACCTCCTCTGATCCTGATGATAACTCGATTTGTTAAATCCGACTTTGAGAACTCTTTACAAGGAGCCGGGATCATGATGTATATTATATTTCTACGCTCCTACTATATAAACAGTGCAGTTAACTGCATTGTGTACAGTTTCTGCAACGAAAGATTCAGAAATGAAGCGAATAATTTAGTGGTCTCTTGTTTTCGTTGAGACAAACATGTGAGATACAAGATGAAACCATGGAACATAGATAGGGGTTTGCTAAGTGAAACAGGTATACCATTGGCTGAACTACTGTGCGGATCCTTCCAGACATTATTGGGGATGAAACCGGGATGCATAAATAGTGACAAAGGTTTGCTTAGGACGGGTAGATGAGGAACTGTACAGCCACAAACGAAGAAACATGTGACTAATTGTGACGTTCTCGGCTATAACATATCGAATGGAACCTATGCATCACAGTTACACGCTGGCTTCATTGGACACTGCAACCAACCTTTTCTTCAGAGGCTGATATTAACACATGCTGCAGTTGATTCGAAACGATTTGACTTCGCTGATGGCTGTTGTCTTTCACACATGTGGATGACAAATCTAAGTGAGATATCTGGTATCAACTCGTGAAATCTCATCCTAAGTACGTGATAGGCTACTCCATGGTGATGACCTAAGGTCAGATTATCACGAACTGCTTTTCATGACACATGTACGTTTGTCGTACTTTGGCTTTTACGCCCAGTCTGCACGTTATGATTTTGTTAATATTATCTGACCGTTACCAATGTAGCAATCTCTGAATCATGTCAGAAATGACATGTCATAAAGATTTCATTCACCTATAATTATATATAATATGCGAAGGATTCAGGAGACCTATCTTGTCATTTTCAAATTAGAGCAGATATCTTATGTTGGACTCATAAAACCTCATAGTCATGATTTCACATATGACCATTAAAAGATGACCATATTTGATATCAAACGACACATTGGTGATATTTATGGATTACAAATACTTAGGCTATACGTAGAAACTAAATGCTGGCTATGTTTCAGTTACCACAAGCAGCGGGTATATGGACAAACCGTCTCATGTTAATTTTGCCAAAAATCTACAGAACAATTTTGTATGTGTTCTAGATAATTGGTATTGACGTTAAACGTCACACGCAACGCAAAACACAGCTTTGCAGATTCTGATACCCTTCGGTATGGACTTACAGTAACAAATTATCAAATATGCAAATTGAACTTATTAAGTTGAAAAATAACGCGATGACACCGCCCCACCCCACCCCCACCCCGCGCGAAATTGGAGTTCAAACGATTCACTAAATGCACCCCAGCTCTGGGGTGAAAAGTTGTTTCAACAGCTGTGCTGCGCTGCACTTATAGCACATGCGCAGTGAATAGGTTCGCGCAGCTTGAAGCGGGATGCCCGAATTATATGGTCGTGAGCAGGATTAGTCTAATCTTGGTTGCGTTCACAAACAGCAAATAGTAAATAATCTATTCGTTACATAAAATAACCTTGTTAAGGATCTAGATCTACTCAGCTTTGTGTCAACCAGTGATTCGTTTGACAGTTCAAGACAGAAAACCTTCGCTGGCGGTGAGTACTCGGAGTAGGCTTTGATGTGAGCTTTTTTTCTAATGTTTTGTTGATATTTCACAGTCGCGAGCTTTTTATATGTTATGACAGTAGATTGCCGATTTAACTGTTTATATAATTTCATCTGACTATTTCACCACACGTTCTTCTTATAGAGTCCCTTTCTCAGATCGATACTTAAAAGCAATGTCATTATTTTATTGACACCTATGTGTCTTCCTGCCTGTCTGCTAATGACAATATGCAACACACAACTTCGATCACTGACCACATGCAATTTGAACTTAACACCTATCAGGCTATACACCATAAACAAACGCATTAATTTAGGGCTCGTGCACCCGAGTTCAGTCTCTGTCACATTCTGTAATTACACAGACAGGCAAGTGTGATACTTGTACACATGACATGTTATGATGTCTGTTGATTGCAAAATGTTAAACACAAAAAATGAGCATGTATTTACAAAACCATCTCTATACACACAAAAAGAACCCTGAGTGTATCGGCAAAAGAACCAGCCAATGAAAGACTTCCTTACACTAAAGTGCACGCCCACCCGCTCTGACTGGATTCGGTATCTCGGGTGCTTCGTTTCAGGGAAAGTAAACCCAAGTACAAAATATTGCACTTGATTTGCGATTGTACGCTTATAATTTTGTATATTTCTTTTCATAATCAGCAATGTATATTATATGCCATGAATAAATGATAAGTGTGTTTTAATTATATTTATTTTTTGGGTTGCATCTAAGCTTTAAGTGTATAAATATTGCAAGAGATTGGACAGTACATACGTATTTACTGTTTGCAAAGATTGAAACAGGTAAAGATGTACTATTACATATAACTATATTTGTATATATACATTTTTTTGCTTTCATGACTCCTTTTTTCTTCCCTGCATCTTTCTTTTGACATGAGATCGATACTTATGTTTCAAGTCAGCAAGTGATTATTGCTCACTGAAATGCATGATTGGAAGTCCATGTGTAAAAACGTCAGTAAGACTCTAGTTAAGGGCTTGATTGTGTGCCTAAAATGCTTCATGTGCGAGTCGACTTGAAGCCCTAGTTCAATGTGAAGATTCATGTATGCTTATACAGCGTAGGGCGTGACCTAGTCAGCACACTCGTCATTCACCATAAGCTCAGGAATGTAAACTACAGTTACATGTACAGGTGTGACTCACGAAGTACATAGACAGGTGGGTCAGGTAAATGCAGATATGATGACTAAATACACAAAGCATGTTCCACTTACATGTGGGAACTCCTCTTTTCACAAATGAAATGTGTACAACGTGGAACACATCCTGGTTGATACAAAAGGTTTCACTCAACACTGGCGACTAGCAATAAAAGCACTGCCAGCTAAGGACAAAACTGCAAAGGGATGAGCTGTCAGTGAGCACAGGTAAGTACGATTCTAGGATACGACATCTTGCATCCATTATATCTGAGACAAACTTAAACATCTGTCTATTTATAAATGGGTATATTTTGACGAATCACTACATTAATTCTTTATTGTATTACTATTACGCAATTGGCGTTTCTGGCAACACTGTCCACTGTCTAAGTATGATCGTGTATGCAGTGAAGCAATGTAAGTTTTACAGGTTTACCATCCTCTGTCATGGCGAACCTGGAGGATTAAAATACACGATCACAGATTACGGAGGAGCGCTGTTCTCGGTACAAAATTGCCCCCCTCGGTCAAACCATTGATGATACCCTTGATTGAAGGTGGCAATTCTGTACCGAGAACAACACCCCTCCATTACGCTATACAACGAAGTGTTTAAGAAATAACCATTGTTTAAAGTTTTTCGTGAAAGCTTTCATTGTTTCCATGCAGTTTATGTTCATTTTATAGTCGCCGTTCATATTCAGGATACCGACTCAACGATGGCACAAGACGACAACAGCGCCATGTACCTACATCAGTATGACGACATGTACGCTCTCAAATATCGCCCGGCCATAGTGTTTGTAGCTGTGTGTATGTTGGTTGGTGTGGTTGGTAACTCGCTGGTCTGCTACGTCTATCTGCGCAAGTTCAAACCAAGCACAACAAGGTGTTTCATTGTAACACTAGCAATCCTGGACATTCTGAACTGTTCTCTGAGCATACCTCTTAAGATCGTACAAATGAGATATCATGCCACGTTCGGACTGTCCAACTTCTGTAGGGTGTCCACAATGACTGTCACGCTCTTCTCGTTGGCATCCGCAGGAGTTCTTTTACCAGTCGCGGTTGACAGATATTTAAAGATATGCAAACCATTCGTCAGACAGATGACAATCTTCCATGCAAAGGCAGGTTGTGGGGCGGCGTGTGCAGCGGCGTTGGTTCTAACAATACCTCCTGCCATCATCCATGGCCCAACAATTCACTCGCTGCCTCAAGCAAACGCCACCTTTTGTTACCTAGCAGACGGAGAAGGGGGAACTCGTCCCCATCTGATATATTCTTGTGTTCAGATATGTTTGTTTGTAGTGACTGCAGGGGCTCTTGTTGTCATGTACACATGTATATGGCATAAGCTGTACAAGCAGAAGAAAGCCTTTCGTCAAAGGATAATCGCAGGTATTTTGAACACTCCAAAGCATAACAATACAACCAGATCGACTGATGGAACGGTTTCTACTTCATCAAACTTCATCTGCACGACTATGAATGCAACTTCACCGGTATCCCAAGCTGACAACAACAGCCATGATCCTGAAAGAGATTCCAGTACGTTCAACAGTGAACGTGAACAGCGTGTCTTTACGAGTTCGCCCAGCAGTGGAGTACCAGTTCGTTATACGAATGCAACAATGTCTTCTCACCAAGAGAATGCAGTAAAGAAGATGACACTAATGTTATTCCTAATTAGTCTCGTATTCTTCCTCAGTTTCCTTCCTTACCTCATCATTACGGTCTTTGTGTCAATTAATATGAGCTTTGCTGAAAGACTGACTGTTATTCCAAGCGAAGGTGTGATAATTTTTGAGAGATCCTACTTTATCCAGAGTGCATGCAATCCTTTCATATACAGCTTCTGTAGCGTGAACTTCCGCAGGGCAATGAAGAATGTGTGTCGATAAACACCGGGTGTCTTGTGAGGGAAAGACTGTGGAAGCTTTGATGCTCATTGTATGGCTGAAAGTTAGCCAGTGTATAGGATCCTACAGAGAACCAAACGCCGTTGTGTCGAAGCCGGAGGGACCTGTGTAAATACACCGAGTTATCCGAGGTTCCACACAACCGCAAAATGATGAAAACGCATTGACCAAGCTTTTTACGTCGACACATCCGTAAGGTCGACATATCAGATCTGTCACAATGGTGTTTGACTGTAACTTATATTTTTAGGATCTTAGGTTAGAACTTGACTACATATTAGAGGATATTTAGCATCTCTGAACAGAGAACTGTTTACTCAGGATGTTTCTGGAAAATATTCTTATTTTCTAGAAAATGAATTAAGAGCTTCACGCTTCAACCTTGCTCCAATCCGACCAGTTCCTATGGTCGGTTCCTAAGTGATTTTACATGCATCTACGGTGTTCTATATATAGCGAGATGCCAAGTTCAGTATGTGGTAAGATCATACCCATCGCTTTTTATGTGCGAAATCTTTAGAAGTACTATACCCAAATACTACATATAGCAGAGTGATCATTTACGAGCTTTGTAAGGAGTTCAACACTAATTCGTGAGAAGGATGTAACTACCTCTCCTCAGGAAAATGCAGTAAGATGGATGACTCTGATGACCTCATTTCTTTCATAGTTATCTTCATCAATTGCAACTTTGATTTTCTATGAAGCGAGAATCCACGTTATGTTTATAGTCACGTGACATACATTGACTTTTCCAAGTCTTTTCGTACTAATAGTTTAACAGAATAGTATTGTCGTACCTTCAAATTACGATATTATCTTACGTTGGCTTGTGTTTTCAATAAACTGAAAAGTTGCTCTGGCCTAGCAACAGTGTGTAGCATAGTCGCCGATCGACGTTACAATCGAAAGGTGACGTTACACTGCGGAAACGCACTTCCTTACTCCCTCTTTTGAAGGTTTCCTCGTTATGATGTTTGTACAAACATTAGATAATTTGTAAATGAACAACAACAACATTATGATGGGAGCAATCAATATTGAATCCACGACGAGTTAGCCTACGCTTTAACCACTAGGATGCACCAATGATCCATAGGAAGAAATCAATTCTAACGGGTGGTCAGACTTGAGCTGACTTGTCTGTCTGCCTGTAGTCCAAACCGATACATGAGTCTCATTAACCTATTCAGACAATGACCTACTTTTCAGCTGATCCGAATTTTCCCTTGTGAAAGTGAAAATAGACATAACAAACAACTATGGTTACACTTTATTCCAATTTCCTGTTTCATAAGGAAATGGTATTTACAAATGAATTTCAATTTTACTTTAATAACATCGTATTTCTATATTTTATGGCGAGGTGTAGGCAGCATGACCTTTACTAAGACGTCACAGACTGCCCCAGTTTGATGAGGCCGTAAAATGATTCACAATTCATCTGGGTCACTGGTTACACATGTTATGTTCTTTTGGCACCTATTCAGTGTAGGTCCGTAACGCACAATGTGATTAATGTAATATCAAGTCCGTACCAGACCGCCAAACATTTCTAGCGCTGCAGAGCCTCCTTTTGAGATTTCCACGATTTCCAGGTTTCTGTTTGTCAGAGCTCACTGTACGACAGAGAACGCTGCACGACATGTTTGCAAGGATTATAAGGAGAGTAGTGTTGCCATATACAAATGCTTAAATGTATCAAATAATACTGATTAATATTTATGTATCGAGTTAAATGAATATGTCTCAGAATTCAGGACTGGTTATTGTACTAAGTTGCGCAATAGGACAGAACCCAGTCGACAGGAAACAAGACTGTTGTGTAATCAATGTTTTGACTTGGTACGACAGCCTGGTTCGTTCACAATATTAATCACTGGATTGTCTGATCTGAGCTCGAGTTTTACGGGCCGCAGCCATATAGACTAAACATTACCTTATACGGGCTAAACTATAAGAACAAAAACTAAAACAGTATCCCTGCTGCTGCAGGATACGTTGAACAGTATTCAAGTAACAAGTCATACTATGAATTTAGAAACACACTTCACACGCATATACCTATTCATAAAATCGCTTTTTGGTCTCTGGGAGGACGATTGAACGCATCACCCAGCTAACTACCCCACTGATCTATAATGAAATAACAACTCAGTCTGTTATTTTGGGGTGAAATCGGTGACCAAATATTCACTTATGCTGCAGCTATCAAACTCACGGTGGCTTGTCAATGGCACAGTCTAAATCGGGATGTTGGTTGGTTGGTTGTTTAACGCCGCACTCAGCAATATTAAAAGCTATATGGCGGATAATCAGGATGCGTGAAAATTAGCCACGTCCACGATCCACACTGTTAGGATACAGTGTCAAACAGCAATGTTCCATTCTGGAACCGTCATTCTTTCACAGACCTATGCTCTTGATTATGGGGTTTAGATAATGGAAATATACCTCCGTGGTCCAGCGGATACAGCGTCAGTCCGATTAGCGGAAAGTCGCGGGTTCGATTCTCTGACCGCGTCATATAGAAAAACCTGATACTTGTTGTAACCATGTCAAGCGTTTGGGCATTGATGGGAACTATGGCCGTCTTGGAATACTGTGTCTAAAGGGTGTATTCTTGTTAAACTTTCACATGTCATCTAAGCACACCCACATACACACATACGAAAAAGAATGGGGGGTATGGTGCGGACAATGCAAATATTTTGATTGGGATCTATAATTCAAGACTCCCACTGGCTCAAAGTTTACACTTCACACACTGTATCCATAAACATTAAGACAATCTGACAAATCCACACACTGTATCCATAAACATTAAGACAATCTGACAAATCCACACACTGTATCCATAAACATTAAGACAATCTGACAAATCCACACACTGTATCCATAAACATTAAGACAATCTGACAAATCCACACACTGTAATAAACATTAAGACAATCTGACAAATCCAGTATAACCACAGCAAAAGGAAACTGAGAGCAATCTTTGGTTTCAGGTTAAATCTATATTGACGGGAATGTGCAATAACATAACATTCCATGTTTTAAACAAAAACAAACACGGATAACATGTGATTGCGCAGACATTAAAGAAGAATTCAAGCAAATACTCTGATCCTTTCGAGAATTCACACTGTGATTCTTCATTTCACGCACGTATGGCAAATGTGCACAAAGATAAAGAATATTTTCGTAGCATCCCGTCTCATGTCACTGACGGCTGTTTGAACTCAAGTACAAACACTACATTGTATAATGGTGTGACACTTGTGTTTGCGTCATGGATTAAAATCTCCGTTCCAAACGATACGTCTGGGATTCAGTGAGTGAGTGAGTATGATTTTACTCCGCTTTTAGCAATATTCCAGCAATATCACGGCGGGGGACAACAGAAATGGGCTTCACACATTGTACCTATGTGGGGAATCGAACCCGGGTCTTCGGCGTAACGAGCGCATGCTTTAACCACTATGCTACCCCACCGCCCTCTGGGTTTCAGAAAAGTTATTTCAAAGTGATCACGTCATTCAAGTGACTATGAGGTCATGACATGGGTCTCACTGTTGTGTAGCACTTAAGAGTTGCAACATTATATACGTTATCGCGTGTTGGTTAAGTAGGTTAGAACTGATCTTCAGCAACCAATACTTGTTGTTAGAGAAGGCCCAGTGACCGTCCCACCTTCCCCACATATCGACACAAATAATGACTTTAATATTACTCAGTATGGCTTCATTAAGGAATCCGTTGTTCATAAATCCGATACATTAACAGTTTAATGCCATCCTGTCATCATGCATTTCTTGTTCACAAGCATATCTATATACAGGAGATGTTTTAGTTACATGTATTTGCACGAAGTAGTATAGATATTTCTCATGTACAGTGCACCCTGGATATAATGCCATGTTTTTGCCAGAACGGATTTCCTGCCTATATAATACCCTGGTTATAATGCCATACTGGATATAATGTTTTTTTAACAAAAGTCATTTTCCCCTGGTTATAATGCCAGTTGCACTGGCTGTATGTAGTATACACGTACATGTTGAGTCCCTTTGCTCCTCAAGGAGTACAGAGGATTAAGTCAAGTAAGTCATGCAGTATACACACCTTAACTGTTTAACTGACATCTTTCAGATTAATTGACCAAACTTATTAATGCTTTAAGTAGTTATGCTCACCAACAGTTTGCCATGAACGAAAAAGCTACCAAGCGCAAACGTTACGTATTAGACATTGGAGGTGAGGTGAGGTGAAATTGGGTTTAACGTCGTGCTTGAGAATATTTCGCTCATATGACGACGTGCATGCGTGTGTATGTGTATGTGCGGCTGCTTGTACTAGCCCAGACTTAAGCTGGTTTTATAGTGCTAGCCCACTGAGATACCATGCCGCAGTGAAGCATGAATACCCCACTCAGACACATTATACTGACTCCGAGCCGACCAGTTCTTGTTAAACCCATTAATGCCGAGCGCCAGGCAGGGACCAACAAGTACCAAATTTTAAGGTCTTTTGGTATGACGCGGTCGGGGATCGAACCCGCGACCTTCCGCTCTCCGGGCGGACGCTCTAACCACTACACCATGGAGGCGGTCATTTTGAAAGAAGACATTGGAAAGAAGAGAGATATCATCCACTACTCATCAGAAAATAGCAGATCATTTCACATCTTTCTGGGATGTTCCAGTCGAAAGAAGAACTGTGAGTGAAAGATTTCTCTAAACCATTGTAGATCTAAATGTAGTTTGCATGTATGAAATAGAGAATGATCAACAAAGTAATGACTCGTTTTCTTTGAAGCAAAAGGGCCTCAAACTGTCCTAATAATGGCCTCAAAATGCCACCCTCCTACCTTGTTATAATGCCACCCTGGATATAATGCCATGTTTTCTCCTGGACAAATGGTGGCATTATAACCAGGGCGCACTGTATTTACGGTCATTTGTGACCAGTTTCGAATTGTACCCATCTAGCTGTAAATGTTTACTGGCACCTTGGGTATCTTGGGTATACCCTTCCCTTTGTTCGGGTACATGAACTCTTATTTTGCTTTTATTGATGATTTGTTTCGCGTATTTTTCATATTTCACAAAACGGAATTCTTGTTATTCCCTGAATAAAGTGGGGAGTCCGGATCACCAGCGCATGCTGCTTTCTCTGACGTCCGTGTGCCGGATGTAAGAACCTTGGAACTTCCGGCCGTAATCATCAAAAGACATTGCTTGACTGTTAGTGGTCCTATCGCTACTGGGTAATGAAGCGGGGGTTGGATCTGGTTCTGACTCGCGTCTGGTGTTGCAGAACAAATTGGCTAGGGTCTCTATTTGTACCGTCGTCATATGAGCGAAATATTCTCAAGCACGACGTTAAATCCAATTTCACCTCACCTCACCTATTTGTACCGGTAGTGATCCACGTGTGCAGTTTTCGAAGGGAGTGTATAGCTTAGGTCAAGAAACTTTCTTTTTATTGCAGTGAGAAAAGTTGCTCTTTTGGTCTTCATGGGACTTTCCTGGTCATGATCAGGCAATTAATTTTGGAATCAAGTCTATAACCAGTGGTGTATCCAGACATGTTGGCTGTCCACTTTGTCCTTAAAATACCAAATATCATAGAATAGAGAACACACACACACACACACACGCACGCACGCACGCACGCACGCACGCACGCACGCACACACACGCACACGCACACACACTCACTCACACACACGTGTGTATACAAGAAATGGGCTTCATGTATAACCATGTAGCGCGTGGGAATATGGAAGTGATAACCGAACACTTCAGCTAGGTTACCCTGACAATCATATCATAAACATAACAACCATAACGGAAACGTGCCCGCCTTAGCGAACACACGATAGCTGTCCCTTGGGAACCATCGGTTTTTCAGTCGTTTGGCAACCATAACAACCAAAACAGATTGTTTGATCGTCGTTCCAAATATTGGCGAGTCAACAATGAAGCATACAACTATATGCTAAAGATAACTTTTAACTTCATAACCTACACTGAAACATCGGTCTATGCAATAACCAAGACGTTGTTGTCCATGCAGTCGTATGCTTCATTGTAAACCAAAACAGTCTACACTATCACAAACTGTTGGATTATCTATCATTGTCACAGATACACGACAGTGTGCACAATCGTGAAAAAACCCCAGATTCAGTCAGTGTCAGGTTATGTGTGTCTGTAACAGACAATTGATATCAAAAGATGACTGGTATCATGTGATGAAGTGGTCAGTCACCAGATACAACGCTCCAAGTGAACTACCTGTGTCGAGTGGATCTGTCTCAGCCCCAGCCCCAGAGGCCGCAAGTTGTCGTGTACCTCGGC